CAAGAGGAAACGGTTTCAAGTTGCGCCAGCGGAGCTTTAGGTTGGATATTAGGAAGAACTTCTTCACTGTAAGAGTCGTTAGGCATTGGAATGGTCTCCCCAGGGAGGTGGTGGACTCACCATCCCTGGAGGTGTTCAAAAAACGCTTAGATGTGGCCCTTCAAGACATGGTTTAATGGGTTTAGCGGGCATGGTGGCATCGGGTATACGGTTGGACTTAATGATCTTTGAGGTCTCTTCCAACCGTAATGATTCTATGATTCTATGATAATGAGATCATGTTTGTTCTAGTAAGTGAAATACTCCAGTATTCTTTGACGTTGCTTCTGAGTAGCACAGAACAGTCTCTGTGCACATTAAATTTTCTTAGCCTCTTGAACAGAGTGGCCAGACTCTGACTACTGAGAGGGGTTCCTGGCCTGTGTCCACTCCTGTGCCATGCTCGGGAATTGACTGAGAGTGTGCTCATTGGCACTTACTGAGGCCATGCAGGGAACCGTCCACTTTCATAGAGTAGGCACACAAGTTCCAGTGCCTGAGTGTGTTTGTTCCCTGATTATATTTAACTTACTGGAGTAGACAAAGCCTGATGGGGCAAGTTCTTGTATCTTTTTGGTGAGAAGGAAAGGACTTGAGAGGATGGAGGGCCATTTTGCTCCATGAAGCTTGAGGAGTGGCATTGTGTATCCATGGTACACAAAGAGCACATCACCTGGAAAGGAACCAAGTTAGTGGTGGGTGCTCTGTACCCTGGCAGAGCATCTCTCTTGGGACAGCGAGGCTGCTGAGCTCTGCCAGCGAGGATGGGTTAGAAATGTAACAATACCATTCACAGAAAACCAAAAGTGTCAGTGTGTTATAGCTGAAAGTCAAGCAGGAATAAGCTGGTTATATTAGAGTAGTGGAGTTTCTCATCACTCCAAAATAGAGAAGTCAAATAGAGGTGTATGAAGATTACTTCTGCATATGGAAATATGGAAGCAAGTTTTCAGGAATGATTTCTGCTTGCAGCTGCTGAGGTATGACTGGGGGTTGTTTTTTGTACAAAAGATTTTGGTTCATTGGTCAAGCTGGAAAAGAAGAGGAATTTGAGTCTAAGACAAAAATGACGCATGTGTTATGGTGCACTCTGAAACATGAATTTGTTGTGATGAAAAACAAAAGGAAAAATTGAAAGTTATTTCAGGTTTAAAACATTTTGCTCAGGTGCGAATAAAGCATTTTTAATTTCTAGGAAGAAATGAAACATTTTTAGCTTCCATGTTTTTCAGCCTGTTTTAAGTAAACAGAACTGTATTCAGGCTGAAAATGGTTGCAAAATTTTTTTAAAAGTCTCAGTTTGAAAGTATTGAAGTGAAGCATTTGGCTTTTATGGTATTTCTTTGACAATTAATTAGTCATTACTGACTGCTGTTACAGAATAGTGTTTCTCAGCCTTTTTTTTAGTTGCAGGATCAGTTCGTTTGAGTGTGAAAAAAAATGAGTATTTTGTACAGTTTTCATTTATGTCCAGCTAAAAATTGGCTAAACTTTGAGTCATCATTTGTGGCTCCTCTTTTGTTGGCTTGCTCATATGTGTAGAAAAGTTAATTTTTTTGAACTGTCTTTTAGATGCTTGCTGAATTACCAGTGCTTCTGAAGCACTGCTACAGAACACTTGAGACAGTCTGTAACTGAAGCCGGTCAACTTTAATAGTTAAGACTAGTTAAATAACAAATACGAGCTATACTGGCTGCCACTGCTAAGTTTAACCTCTTGCCACGTTTTTCCCAATCTGTTACCACACAAATACTACCAGGTTTAGTTCTCTTTTTGCCGGGGAGTGAAAGAAGCAAATAACTAGAATTATAAATAGAGGTGAAATATAATGTCTTTTAAGGTGCTACCAAAATAATCTCTGTGTGTAGAAAACAGTGAGATGTGTGTTTATAAGGTAGAGGTCCAGTGTACTGCTAATATTGCCCAAGTGCAAAACACTCTGCAAAATTACTATTTCTGGTAATAATAGCTGAGATGGAAAAAACTGCCTTTGAGAAGTCAATGGAGATAGTGAAAAACAAATTTGCTGAGTATTTTTAACATACAATGTGATCTGGAAGCTAGAGGCAGTCAGTAATTATGGAATATTGTTAAGTTTCTGTTTCTTTACAGTGACTATGTAGACTGTGAGCTCTCCTCATGACAGAAAGGTTTATACAGAGAACATGAAACTCCTTGGTTAACTACAATAGACTGCACCAGAGCAGCTACCTAATAGTTGGTAGGTTTTCTATAGAGACTCAGTATATGTGGATAGTGTTCATTCATGGTACCCGGTAGGATGTCTGGAGGGGAGCATAATAACATGGGCTTGTGGACAATTTGGAAAGGTAAAGAGCTTGTACTTGTTGGTGACCTAAGTATTTTTGACACAACTTAGAGGACCTGTTTTGGTCCCTAAATATTTTTGGAGTCTGTTCTGTTCTCGTGCAGTCCATGTATAGATAAGTGGACCCTGTCCCAGTATGCAATTTGATGTGATTCACTCCACAGTTCACTTAGGATGTGGCAGATTTCAGCTCAAGCTTTTACCCTGGATTCATATCCTGAATTCCTATAGTTTTGCAACACTCATGTCACAAGTACAGCTGTGAAAATCTAACACTTGCAATTCCTGCAGCTGAAAAGTCTCTTTATGATTCAACTTTTTAGCCAGGAGAATATGGGTAATTAATTCACAAGGTCAAAGAAGGCCTGACAGGCACAGCTGTCTGCTTGCTGGTTTTGGCTGTTAGAGCTATGTGGAGCTTCCTGGGGGATGAGCTGAGCGGCACTCTCTGAGTTGTCTTTGTCCCAGAACAAGTCCAAGCAGAGTGGAGGTGGCAGACCAGAGTGTGCCAACACCTGAGAGAGAGAGAGTTGGCCCTAAAATGGCATGAGGGGTTCAGGATGCCTGGGCTTACTCATGGGAGTCACAGCTGAGCTGGAACCTTGCACAGTATTCAGCAAGGGGAGTTGCTTGGTGTTTTGGGAAGAGAAGAGGTGCAGTTAGGGCAAGAGGCGCAGAAGAGTGCAAAGAGATTGGGATAAGCAGGAGAACAGAGGTGGGTGACATGAAATAGCTTTAGTTCAGCAACCATGCTTTTCACAGACAGTTGCAAACCAAACTGCTGAGATTCAGTTCTTGTTAACTTGAAAGTTTCTTCATGAGGGTGAAGCTATGAGCTGGAGCAAGGTCGCAGCCCACAGGGAGTCTGCATCCTGTTTTGAGACCACCCAACAGGCTGGGTAAACACAGGAGTGGTAGCATATGGTGGCTGCTCTGTCCTGACTGTGTGTGCTTGTCTCTGACTTCCTATCCCTCCATGAGAGGAGGCAGGAGCAGCTGGTCCCAGCTGGTTCTGTACTAATCATTTGCAAGCACAGAGGCGCAAGTGGCTGGTTTTGCTGTATTTACTGAAGGGAAATGCGAGGTCGTGTAGCGAGAAGATTAGAAGGGCCAAAGCTCAACTAGAACTTGATTTGGCCACTACAGTTAAAGATAACAAAAAAAGTTTCTATAAATACATTGGCAGCAAAAGGAGGGTCAAGGAGAGACTCCATCATTTGACGAATGAGGAGGGTAGTGTAGTGACAGGGAATGAGGAAAAGGCAGAAGTGCTCAATGCCTTCTTTGCCTCAGTCTTCAATATCAAGACCAGTTCTTCTCAGGATACCCAACCCCCAGAGCTGGAAGTTAAGGATGGGGAGCTGAGTGAAGCCCCCATAATCCAGGAGGAGACAGTTAGTGATTTGCTATGTCAATTAGACACTCAAAAGTCTATGGAACCCAGTGGGATCCACCCCAGAGTAATGAGGGAACTGGCAAAAGAACTTGCCAAACCACTCTCAATCATCTATCAGCAGTCCTGGTTAACTGGAGAAGTTTCAGCAGACTGGAGCTTGACAAATGTAGCGCCCATCTACAAGAAGGGTCAGAAGGACGATCCAGGGAACTACGGCTTGTTAGCTGTTGGCCTGACCTTGGTGCTGGGCAGGGTTCTGGAACAGATCATCCTGAGTGCCATTAGGTGGCACATTCAGGAAAATCAGGGGATCAGGACCAGCCAACAGGGATTTATGAAAGGAAGGTCCTGCTTGACCAGTCTGGTTTCCTTTTATGACAAGGTGAGTCTTGTTTCCTTTTATGACAAGGTGACCGGCTTGTTAGATGAGGGAAAGGCTATGGATGTTGTCTACCTAGACTTTAGTAAGGCCTTTGACACAGCCTCCGACAGCATCCTCCTAAATAAATCTACTGCTTGCAGCTTAGATATGTGGACTCCTCAATGGGTGAAAAACTGGCTGGCTGTCCAGGCCCAGAGAGTTGTGGTCAATGGAGCTAAATTCAGTTGGCAGCTTGTCACGAGCGATGTTCCCCAGGGCTCAGTTTTGGGACTGGTGCTATTTAACATCTTTATAGGTGATCTGGATGAGGGGATTGGGGGCCCGCTTAGTAAATTTGCAGATGACACCAAGTTGAGTGGAAGTGTGGATCTGCTGGAGGGTAGGAAAGATCTCCCTTCAGGGTCTGCTTCACCAGGCTAAACAACCCCAGCTCCCTCAGCAGCTCCCTGTAAGACTCACCCTCCAGACCCTTCGCCACCTTCGTTACCCTTCTCTGGACTCGGTCCAGCACCTCAAGATCTTTCTTGAAGTGTAGGGACCGAAACCGAACACAGTATTTGAGGTGTGGCCTCACCAGTGCCGAGTACAGGGGGACGATCACTGCCCTGGTCCTACTGGCCACACTATTCCTGATATCAG